TTAAGTTTGTTTTTAAAAAATATTTTCAATTTCAAAAATTATTTTCTACTCTAGTAAAAATAAAAGATATTTCTCAAAAATATTTTTTCATGCATAAATCTAACACTAAAAATCTTTTTCGGAAAATATTTTCTACTTACCAACCAAACATGAGAAAATAAGTCAAAAATCAACTTGTTTTCCAGGAAAACATTTTCTAAGAAAACATTTTCCATGGAAAACATTTTCCTTCATACCAAACACACCCCAAGAGTGTGCAGATTTTTGAAGCTTGCATAACTGCTTTGGAAGACTACGAAGACAAGTTTAGGTATCTTAAATGTACTAGATCACCAATGGAAGATGGTAACCGCTTAAGTTATATGTTACTTAGATTAAGAACCCTCAACGCGACGAACTTTTTCAAGAGCAAAGGAGAGTAGGAAGACACAACTTCAACAAAACCGATTGACACCATGTCCTTAAAATAATATCCTTTTACTTTCATTTCACAGATATTGTTGCTTGCTGTTAACAGAGATGTAGCCAAATCATGAATTCTTTCATAAGTTTTACCAAATTTAACTTCAACCGCTTGGAAAAAAGGACCTCAAGTATAATTCTTTCATACTTCATTACCCACATTAAATTTGGTAGCTTTATTAGAGGATGATATTGTCACACTTCCAGCCTATTAAGTTTCTATTCCATTTTTGTCGTTTCTGATCACTTTCCATTATCGTACTTCTGCTGAACTTGGTACTTTAATGAACGATGGAATTCTATGCTCCAACTTTATTCCACTCTGAAAGAAATCCAACAGGGAGAAAACATGCATATAGACTCATTTTTTCTTTGTTAGACAAAATTTACACTCAGTTGTTTAATTTGATAAACATGCCTGTTAGGTTAATTGTTTGTTATTGGATTAAGGATCCAAGTGCAGCAAATGGAGATTCAGAACAGAAGAGAATCTCTTTTCTTTGAGCTGCTTCGTTAACAAAAGCAAAACGGAGGTATATTTAAACTATTTCCAATACAACATAACTATATCCGACTGTAAATTAGCTATAGTTTGTAACTGTAATATACTTACTAAAAAAACTGTTAATTCACCTTCTTAAACAAAAGATCATTGATCTATAAGAATTTATCTAGCAAACTCATTGAACTTTATTTTGTATCAATAAAATCACTAAAACCTTTTACCTTTAACAATCACCCAACTAAATTTATTATTAGAGTAAAATTGACATGACAAAATAAAATATTTTTTATGTCATATAAACACGCACACACAAATAAATAATTTTTTTTTTCTTTTTTAAAAAAAACATGATGCATCTCCTTTCTTCATTTCTAAAGATTCTTACCAAATTATATATATAAAGCTAGATAAAAAAGAAGTGATGTGGCACATCTCAATGGCCAAGGATCCTATTTATCTTTTTGTGTTTTTTTTTTTATATTTTTCTAATGCTTTTCAATTATTTTATTTTATAACATCATCTTCTTAATTTATACCTCTTCAATTACATAAATTTAAATATTAATTAATTTAGTAATGTCTATAACTCCTAACCTTTCATATGCATAACCTTCAAATAATTGTTTAATGCTCAAATTTATAACTCCTTAAAATGACACTTATAAAAATCTATTTGAGACATGTATAATAATTACCACAATAATAGGAATAATTGTATTAGTGTTGTAAAAAATTATTCAACTCTTGGTCTTTTTCTACATATTCAACGTTGCATACACATATTCTTTTTTTAAAATTATTTCTTTGTCACTATTTGATAATCTCCATTCGATTAAATTATGTATTTAATTTTATTTTATTTTTATTGTAAAGTAAAACCTCAATGGCAGCGTTTCACTATAACAATTTAATTCTCTCTTCTCGCAATGCATACTATAAGAATGAAAGTTTAAATAGAATTTTTTAATATTAATGGATTTATGTGACACAAATATGTAGTAAATGAATGCCAGTACGAGCATCGAATATTGAAAAAAAATCTCTAACTTTTGAATTTCGTGCACAAATGTTCGAATATAATTCAAGTATTTTTTTCTCACCATTATTTTGTTAAAATATATTTTGATTTGTTTATTTTTATTATAGAGTCATTTATATAAAAAATAAAAAAAAAAAGACATGTAATTTACGATCAAATAGATTTAGTATTATTGGTTGAACTAGTAATATTTCTATAAGAATCATTGAATTTAGTATGACACTATGATAATAAACCGAAGCTCTTCATATCAATTTATATGTTTT